GTCTCTGCCTCTCTCTCTCTCTCTCTATCTATCTCTATCTCTATCTCTATCTCTATGAACATATAAATAAAATCTTAAAAAAAAAAAAAGGAAGACTATAAGAAAGGAGAGGTAAAAATGAAGAACTGGCCTACAGCTTGAACCCTGGGGATTTTCTAATGGCAAGAGTTAGAATGGGGTTTAAATGAAGGTTAAAGATATAAAAATTGATTCCTATAAAGTAAGCTGTTGCTGCCTACCCTTAGGAGTATCCATACCCTGGTTTATAGATCACTGGTCTAAAGTGTAAGACATATTAGATGATGAAATTCAATTCTACCTAAATATTGAGAACCATTATGCTGAGTACTACAGTCAGAAAAATGATTAAGGGTTAAATTATAATTTAATGTAAAGCAAATGTGAAAAGGAACAGATGATAAGTAAATAAATTTATGAAAATTCATACTATCTACACTGCATATAGTGTGATTTCTATTAAATTTCAATGACAACTTTTTTAGCTATTAAATATGAAATGAGTATTAAAATTCTCATAACAAATTATTATCATAACATTGGCATCAGAAATCATCTTATGGAAAGAACTGGGTTTTCTGGATAAAATACATTAAAGATGACATTGGGCCCCTCGCTGCCTCAGTTGATACGGCATGCCACTCTTGACCTAAGGGTTTTGAGTTTGAGCCCCGGCAGGGGTGTAGAGATTAGGTAAAGAAAAAAAATCTCTAAATAAATAAATAAATAAATAAATAAATAAATAAATAAATAAATAAGTAAAGTAACACTTGGAGTGGAGCAGGCACATGGCCATAAATGTTAGCAGGTGCTCAAATAAAAAGAAATCTTGTCTCCATAAATCAGTATCAGAAAATGTATTATTGTCTCTTCTGGAAAGGAATCAGGCAAATAGGTGATAAAGAGAAAGAATAAAGAAAGTCAGAGTGGATCCAGAACAGTGGAGAAAGGCTGGAAATATATAAGATACTGGGGGGATAGGTGACATTTTAAAAATGGCAATGTTCACCATTTAATTTGAAGTGATTTGAAGTTTGCATTGCTAGCGTGTCAGTTTCTTCTGAATCTTCCATTATGAAAATCTGCAATGAAGTCTACTATTCTCTAAAGCAATTTATATGTATACAACTTTTTATGAAGGTCAAGGAAGGGCTATTTCAGGGATGAGAGTCAGGTTAAAAGTGAATTAGAAAGGAGTTTTCAGAGAAGCATATTTTTAAGGGATACCAAGGCACTTGATCATGGCAACACTGAGTTTTGAGGTGGGTGTTTGACTTAGATTCATTCTTAAATTTGCATGTGACATATGTAAGTTAACATAAATAACAAGTATATATAACAACTGTTCCTCATCAGTGGTGCTAAATTCATTTTGTTGAATTCATAATTTTTATTTCAATCATTTTTATTGGAAACATGTCTCATTATACAGCAAGATGAGAACAGGTATTTTGGGGGACATTCTAACTATTAGGAATTAAATCCTTTGATTCTTTAAAAAATACATTTAAGAATATATTTTATATGTTTTTATACCTATATTTATAATAGGTCATATCTCCTGGAAAAATTGTCTTCTAGTTCATCTGTTTTTAACTCTGAGCAATGGGACAGTTTGCTATAACACTTACAAGGGATGGTAGGGCAATCATGCATGGAGTTGATCTCTTGAGCATGGTTCAAAAGACTAGACATACAACTTTTCTGGAGTAATTTAATACAATTTACAAACATCAAGTTCCAGCTTTACCTCAATTTACTTCCTACTATTCTAACCAAACTGACTCACTATTGATTCTCAGCACTATTCATATTTTCTGAGAAAAATGTCATCCTGCTCTGTTGGGAAAGTCTTACCCAATAATCAAGAATAAATACTCCTCCTGCAGATAGAGCCATTTAGAAGAAAATATATAATTATTTTATAGTCATAAAATAATTTTCAATAAATAGGCATTGTGTGTTAGTAGATGTAAAACTAAAATATATGAAGATGCTTAATTATCTCCCAAATAATCTATAAATATCATGCTATTAAGGTAATGAATAATTCTTTAGAAAAAAAAAAAGATTTTATTTTATTTGACAGAGAGAGAGAGCGCACAAGAGCACAGCATGGGGAGCAGTAGGCAGAGGGAGAGGGAGCCTGATGTGGGACTCAATCCCAGGATCCTGGGATCACGCTGTAAGCCAAAGATAGACACTTAACTGACTGAGCCACCCAGGCGCCCCAAGGTGATAAATAATTCTAAAGTTTAACTGAGCAAATAACAACAACAAAAAAAGATGGATCTTAGAATCCAAAATAATTTTAAATATTTTTTTTTTAAATTTTTTATTTCTTTATGATAGTCACAGAGAGAGAGAGAGAGAGAGAGAGAGAGAGAGAGAGAGAGGCAGAGACACAGGCATAGGGAGAAGCAGGCTCCATGCACCGGGAGCCCGACGTGGGATTCGATCCCAGGTCTCCAGGATCTCGCCCTGGGCCAAAGGCAGGCGCCAAACCGCTGCGCCACCCAGGGATCCCCAAAATAATTTTAATAGAACTTAATAAATACAACAATTCAGTTAAATTTCAAATCAGTAATAGAAAAGACTAAATATTTAATGAAAAGTGTGAATACACCTGTCCATCAATTTGGTGGAAACACTTTTATCTGAGATTCAGTTTCACTTGGATTAAGAGTTAAATGTGAAAGTGGACTTGTCACATTATTAGAAATTTAAAAATTAATATTGCTGCTATGTTGAGACATTGAAGAACTTTTAGTCAGATTATTAACCTTTAGTGATAACTAGAAACAGATCCTTCGATTGCCAAAATTCAATCCAGCCAGAAATAGTCTCCTTAGTTTTTTCCTCTTTCCCACCTCTTAGCCATCAATTATGTTTCAGAGCCTAAGTGATGATTTTCTAAATAAAGCAGCGCAAAAATATTCGAAGTTAGCCTTGATCTGTCACAAATCACTTGGTCGCGAAGAACTTCAGATAGTACTTTATGTCGTCCTGGTCCTTAATTGAGCAGAATTGCTTTCAGAGTTTCTAGAATCTCAGAGCTGAGTGGACCTGAGCAAGTCTCGCAGTGAAGGCCGCTTATTCTACAGACTTGGAAAGCAGGAGTTTAGGAGACTTCTTGCCTCCTCTCCCCCAGCCATGGTCGGTGAGCTCAGACCAGGAGCTCCCCAAGTCCCAGTCCTGTGCTTCTTTCATTAGGTTCAAGTTAAACCACACACACGAGTCAAACTAGTATCATAGCAAATGGCAGGCCTGGGTCTCAGTTCTATTTTTTAGCTTCCCTAGAGACAGTTTTCAGCACCTTTCCTGCTGGAATTTAAACACATCGCCTTAAACTGTCCTGTTACCAATAAGATTTTAAAAAGTGCAAAAGAGGCAGGAAACTTCTCCCCAGAAACGGACCAATACTCAGATCAGAGATCAATCTAATGAAAACAGTTTAAATTAGCACCTTTCATGTTCAAGCCACATCCGATTTATCTCCTTCGCAGTATCCAATAAATGTTAACATTTATAAGTTGGAAAGACCCTTAGAAAAAATATCATGTCATCCTCATAGTTTCCACTGGTACACACAGGCAGTGGAGGTCAAAATCGGCTTTTGCCTAATAAGTGAATTTCCTTCCATTTTATGCTCTTTCCTATATGTCTTCGTTAAGCAAAATTGGGGCTTATAAAAATTGATCTGGCTCCACTTCACATAAAAAAGTTCAGGAAAAAAACCCCGGCTGTCAGATATAAGTAGGCATTTTGAGCATTCAAACCTTGCTCTAAGGAACAGTGACTCATATAAAATGTAATGTACTAAGGAAGCTGACACATAAAAGGATAGAACAACAATGATGAGTTCCCAAAGACGTGCTGTGGGAAAAAGAATAATTATAGAGGGCCTATTTTTGGGTCCAGCCGAATGACTTGGGAATTTGAAAATCAGAAGAAGGAATTATACCACTTAGCTTCGAATTTAAGGTAAAATTATTTAGGAGCCTTTTTTCATTAATGCTATTATCGTTTATCGGGATGATACATGATTGACTTGTTAACTACTTTGCAATCTAAAAATAAGTTAGGACAGGAAAACTAATTTTGTCAGGAAGGGGGCCTTAGGGTGTAATAATAATTGCATAATTAATATGTTATCTGACAGGGAAGTACAACGCTAAATATAAATAAGAAGACACATCTGTCTACAGCAGTAACCTTTTTGGAAGCATCCCTGCCCCTGAAGCTTGTAATTAATGCCCAGGATTAAAATGGAAACTGTTTTTGGCCAGGGAGTTCTAAAAATAGTGCCTAGAACAACTTAAATCTTTGAAACAGTTTACCCCCCCCCCATTTTCCTGTTTGTTTATTTATAAGTGATGTCCTAATCAAGTTTTACAATCACTTGTAGGAATAGAACAGCACCAGTGTGATTCAGAAAAGAAAGAACTCTAGAGAAGAACATTATTTAGTTCAAACGAGCAATCTAGCCCTATTATTTAATAACATCAAACATAATTCTGTTTTCTATGTACATATATACAGTTATAATAAGGTTAGCCACAGATATTATATACGTGCATGTGTGTACCTGTGTGTGTGTGTGTGTGTGTGTGTGTGAGAGATGTTTGTGGCAAATATTAGCAAATCACTAATATCACTAAATCTGATAGGACCCATTCAAATTAATTTAATGCTCTTAGTTTTCTGGCCCAGGGAACAAGAACTCGGGGGCTCAATGCATATCCAAAGGTCCCAAGGAAATGACCTTGTAAGTTTGTCCATAAGTCCATCTCTACCAGTATTTTGTTAGACTCCCTTTCAAAATTCCCTTTATTCAGGAGCTATTTGACATTAAGTTATAAATCATTCTGTGAAATCTTTCTTATTATTGTTTACATGTTCGTATTGTTTTCAACTTCATTGGAAAGTAAACATGTTCCTTTCTTTAGGTCCTGAATGTTCTTTTGTAATGTGTGCAATACCTGAAAGTAGGGCCATCCAAAGTTTTGACAGGTGGCAGCACAAGTGGTTGGTGTATCATCGTAGAACCCTGGATGACAAGAGAACATTCCTGTGAATTTGGCAATATTATTAGTGAATAATGGGATTCCCTAGAACTTAACTTAAAGTTATATACTAGTGAGGTTTTTTGTTGTTGTTGTTGTTAAAACCATAAACCCCTGTATTTTAAATGTTGAATTTTAATGGGAAGTTGGGAGGAGAGGTATCAGGCACTTTGAGGTTGCCAGGTTGCCATCATGCTAACCTGGAAGTAATCAAGAACTTTGTTCTTGGCACTTTATTTTTTAATAAGGAAGATTCTAAGGGGCACAAACATGAAGGATGGTCCCTGTTGTTTAAGATCTTAGCAATAGGAAGAAGTGGATGTCCTGAAATGTTCAGGAGAAATGTTCCAGATGGGAAGGATTGGTCAGTGGTTCTGAGGATGGAATATATCACAGGTTCAAAGTATAGGGAGAAGTTCTGGGTGATCCAAGTGGAATGAGTGATGGGAAAAGAGTGTCATAAACCTGTCAAAGAGGGAGCAGAGGCTGGATGATGGCAGTTTAACATTTAACTTTCTTTAAACAGAGGATATTACCAAAAAGTAAGATCCACCCACCACCGAATGTATATAAACGTATTATGTATATATTATGTATATTAATGTATATAAATGGAGTTTGAATCTATATTTTTAAAGATTTTATTTATTTATTCATGAGAGACAGAGAGAGAGAGAGAGAGAGAGAGGCCGAGACACCAGCTGAGAAGCAGGCTCCCTGTGGGGACCCCAATGTGGCACTCAATCCCAGGACCCTGGGATCACTATCTGAACTGAAGGCAGATGCTCAACCACTGAGCCACCCAGGCGTCCCTATAAATGGAGTTTATATGCATCTTTTCAGACCCAAACTAATGTTGAAGACAAGATATAGCTACTTGTTTATCCTGCTGCACATTTACATGGTAATTGGGCTTACTGAACTTCAAAAATGTTAAATTTCTGTTCGCAAACTATTCATCTCCATTAGTTCATATTGTGATTCGGGAGGCTTTTGTTAAACTTACTTTTATGAATCATCAATTTGTTGCTACTTCAAATGATAATCTTTGGATGATTGCCCAGGATGTCTATGGAGCCATTAGGGATATTTATGTGAAAACTCAAACATGTGAAGAAAGCTATGTTAAAAGCAATCTCTGCAATCAAATCGTTGTGTCTCAAAAAACATTCTTGGATTACTTTGTAAATTTATACACCTGCACATATTTTTAATAATTTATTATATATTATTATAGATTGTGTAGTAGTATATGTTATAATTAGCATCGTGATCTTGTCTTATTAAGTAGATGTGTATTTTTACACCAACAAACTGCACAGTTTCAGAATCTGGATTTTCTTCAAGCTATTTTGAAAAAAGTAGAAACTCTTGTCAGTCTCGACTTTACTGGCCTATATATGGAATTCAGAGGGTTCAAAGTTGAAGTTTATTTTGAGGGATGCCTGGGTGGCTCAGTGGTTGAGCATCTACCTTCCGCTCAGGGCATGACCCCGGGTCCCAGGATCGAGTCCCACGTCGGGCTCCCTGCATGGAGCCTGCTTCTCCCTCTGCCTGTGTCTCTGCCTCTCTCTGTGTCTCTCATGAATAAATAAATAAAATCTTAAAAAAAAAAGTTTATTTTGAGTATTTTCCCAACTTACTAAAAAAAAAAATAGCACATGAAATAGAAAGGACCGTGTAGTATGACTGGTTTTCTTCTGCATGGCCCTGGAGATTTTATTTCACTCCAGCTGAAAACACTATGAAAGAATCTTTCCATTCTTTTGGTGATTTGGGATGAGTGAAAAACAAGTATGTCAGTACTTTCTTCTGGCTATCAGAAAATTTACAGATGACATAATTTTTATTAGTAAACATGTACATGTTTTTTTTAAATTAATTAATTTATTATGTATTTATATTAATTAATTAATTTTAGAGAGAAAGAAGGAAAGAACGAGAGAAAGCAGGATGAGGGGCTGAGGGAAAGAGAAAGATCTCAAGCAGACTCCCCGCAGAGCATGGGGCCTTTTATGGGGCTTGAGTTCACAACCTTGAGACCGTGACCTGAGCCAAAATCAAGAGTCAGGCACTTAACCAACTGAGCCACCCAGGCACCCCAATGTGTTGTACATTTTTTTAAAAGATTTTATTTATTTACTCATGAGAGACCCAGAGAGAGAGAGAGGCAGAGACACAGGCAGAGGGAGAAGCAGGCCCCATGCAAGGATCCCGATGGGGGACTCTATCCTGAGATCCCAGGGTCACGCCCTGAGCCAAAGGCAGATGCTCAACTGCTGAGCCCCCTGGGGCGCCCCTGTGTTGTACATTTTAATATCATAATGCATATGTCAGCATGGTCTGACTTCCACTGTCTTCTGAAAAATATCTGTATCTGTAGCACCAGAGATTAATTAACATCCAAGAAGAAAAGATGCAAAAAAGAGATAAAGCCTCTAGGTTTAAGCCCAGATAAAACTCAAAAGAACACCTATCTTCTTCAAGTAGGGCCATTGGCTGAACTGATTAGACAATGAAATCAAAATCAACTAAACCTCCTGAAAACACAAAAGAAATACAGCAAACAAGAATAACAGATAAACCTTCTTCATGTAATATGGTGATTTAACACAACAACTGAGCTACAAAAAATGCAAACCTAAGCATACTGATTAAGAGGAAATCAGAATATTGAAAAAATATATTGGTTAAATTCAGGTGATGTGTACAAGGGCAATCAAGGGGTTTCAGAAATGAGGGATTATGTGAAAGGCACAAGCTCCAATGCGTTCTGTAATATTTTTATGAATAAGAAATAATTTTTATTGCAGTAGAAAGAGAGACACCAGCTCTTTCAAGAGATTTATAAGCTCCATAAATGATCTTAACTATGCAAAAGTTTATAAAAAGCATACAACACATGTCATTATGCATTTGTTCAAAGTCATAGGATGTTAAACACCAAGATTGAACCCTACTGCAAACTGTGGATTCGGGGTGATTATGCTCAGGTTCATCGATTGTAACAACCATGCTACTCTGGTGATGGACATTGACAGTGAGGGGACGCATGCATGAATGGGGACGGTGCAGTAGGGGTAAGCTTTGTTCCTTCCATCCAATTTTGCTGTGAACCTATAACTGCTTTAAAAAATAAAGCCTATTACAGAAAAAGTGCACATGCATCCAAATGGAATTAGTCATTTTCTTCCTCAATTTTTAAAAGAGATTTTGATGTGTCTTTGATGGGGTTTTTGAATAAAGGAAATAGGAAGTTAGGGATATGATTCTAGGGATTATCAGTTCGTGATCTTGTCACGGTGAGAAATGCTATTCACACACTCGGAGTTCTAAATGTACTAAAATACACTCTTTCCTTTCCCCGGACCGCCTAACAAAAACGAGATAGTTAGTCCTTCTTTTAAATAATTATAAGCAAAAATGGCTTGGCCATAATTCTATAGCCTCAAGTCACTGCTACCCCATTAAAAACAAATGTTTCAGAGAAAATTTTTAATTCTTTTCACGTACAGATTTTCGGTGATGCATAATCAGGGCAACATACATTAAAATCACGATGAGATATTATGTTACTCCCACCAGACTGGCAGAAATTTAAAAGTTTTAACCATAATGGAAAGTGTTGGAAAGGACGTGGTGCAGTGGAAACTTCAGACCCTGTTGATGAGAGTATAAATTGGTACAAGCACTTTGAATTGCTAAAGTCCTGAAATCCCACTCTTACGTAGATTCCCTGAAGAAACTCAGGCATATGTGTACCAGAAGATTCGTGAGAAATTCACTCATTGCTTCATCGTTTGTAACAGTAAAATGGTGGAAACAATCCAAATGTCTCTCAGCGGGAGCAAAGAGCAATGCACGCTGAAACCCTCATAGTGTGGGGCGCTGCAACCGTGGAAAGGAAGAAATCGCAACATGCATTAAGAGGGCTGTGTCCCCAAAATACTAAACGAGAGAAGCAAACTCTGGAGGCTCTGGTTCAGAGGGATGGGACTTTCACAAAAATAGAAACAGCAGAACTAAAAGACATGTTGCTTAAAACATGTGCGTATGTGACAAAGCCCTAAAGTACCCTAAAGTACAGCAGAGGAATGACAAGTGCAAGTTTGGGGTAATGGTTTAACTTCTGGGGCCATGTGTGGGACTTAACTGAGAGGAACATGATGGACACGCCGGGTTCCAGGTAGACAGGCATCTATTTGTTTAAATAATATATTTGTGGTATGCATAATCCTGTGTGTACCCGATTCTTACAATTATAAAATAGTTTTGTAGGCACGGTATGGAGAATGTGACTCCGTACCCTGGAATTAGGTGTTCGTTGTGGAATTATGGAGCAAGATATCAAAATGCAATGTCTGTGTAAGAGGCCAGGGCACTGGGGCGGGGAATGTGGCTGCCTCACACATTACCAACCCAATTGGAAAGTTTACCTCCTTCGGTCAGAATATTGTTAAGATTAGACTCCCTTGGAATATTTCACACTTAAGACATAGTCCATGCACAATTTAAAAGCTTAAAACTTTGTAAATGTGACTTAATTGTATGACCTATTTTGACTTTAGGTTACTTTCCTAGTTATATGGAGGAAATTTTGGAATGCCAGGGGTGAAAAGCTCATAAATCAGTTTGCATGCGTGTGTGTGTGTGTGTGTGTGTGTGTGTGTGTGTATTTACCCCTGAGTCCAGTGAAGGAAGAAAGGGTCAATAAAGTTGTATTTTGGATTATTACCAGGTTCTCAAGACTTTTAAGTGAGGATGACTCAGGCAGGGAAAATGCACCCCCACATCACAAAATTAGTAATTTTCAAAGCCAAACTTAGAAGAGAAAGTAACATATATGTTTTGTTATTTGTATGTAGTTCATGACCAATTGGGCCCAAGCCTTAGAGCATGATTATCATCCAGGGGCTGGTGTTTGCTTCTCACACCTGCTTCATAAACACTCCTCGCCTCTTATCAGAAGGAATAACTTCTAGGC